GCCTGCTGGCCTCCCCTTGGCTCGGCGCCGCTGACGCGCGCTGCTGCCGCCGCTCTCGCCCTGCGCAGGTACGAGGAGAGCCGGGTTCACGAGTTCATCTACCAGCTGCGGGTGCGGCTGCTGGGGGCGGACGGGCGCACAGTCCTGCAGGAGCACGCCTTCGCCCCCAAAGAGGACATGCGGCGCGACTCCCGCGACTGGAAGAAGGTACTTTACACGCGTGCGTCCAGCGCGCTGCGGCGGCTCTCGCACAACACCGAGCCCACAACGGAGCAGCCTCAAACCACACGTGTATCGGCCGGCTCAGCCTGGTGCATCGGGCAAGGACTGAGCTAGGCAGTAGATATTGAAGCCAGTGCTGAATAGGTGCTGTAACAAGTTTTTAACTTCTGTCTTGCCGTTTATTTCACGCAGGTTGTCTTAAGGTATTTTTTCCTCTCGGCCTGAGTGACTATAGCCCTCACTGTGTGTTTTTCGGCGCAGGTGTCCCACGTGTTCAGGAGCTACGGGCCGGGCGTGCGGCACGTCCACTTCCTGCACAGGCTGAAGAACATGAACATGGTGGCGTTCAGGGCCACCCGGGCCACCGACAGCGCCGTGCTTGTGAAGCTCAGAGGCTGAAGCAGGAAAGCGAGACCCGCGGCGTGGGCCGTCTCTGTGCTCGCTAACGCGCCCGTGTGCCGACTGCCGCGGCGCTCCGGCATCGCAGAGACCACGCCGTCGGTCATGCTGTAATTCTACCGTTGTTTAAGCTTTGAACTGTAAGTATCAAGGCCCAAAATGTCAGAACTTTCAATAAAAAAAAAAATGATTTTAAAAAATCACCCTCGACGTCCGCAACCTAGAAAGCAGCCGCCTGCAAGAAATTAAGGAACTCCCTCTGGAAGGGGGCGCGGGTCGTTTTTTTTTTTTTAAGAAGGCGATTGTAAAGAACGCTTTTCTGGAAACTCCAATCAGTGTTTTACAGGTAATGGGGGTCCCCTCCACCAGCACCAGTCCTCTCCCCACACACCAGCTCTCAGTGGGGAGGAGAGCAGAGTGATGAAGCCAGTTCAG